ACTCATCACTCTCTGATTCAGAATTCTGTGTCCCTAAGAGGAATCTACAGATTTTGGAAACATTTACCAACCAAAACACTGATTTCTTATCACCTTTTAGGCCAACCTTCTTGGGTGGCCTTTGGAGTGGAACAGAGTAATATCAGAAGGTGAGTGTTTCCCCAATCCTATATATAGACAAGAAAATCTTCCTCATGGATCCAAATTTAGGTAAGAGTGGGAAAATACAGAGTATCCTAGGAACTGCTGCCATCCTTTCCTGATCTGTTAAACAGTGTCTGATATCATCATTTTAATAGTTAATACATCGACAATAGGAGCTGCCACTTGTTTTGTTTTCACAGTATTTCAGACTTTCTTTTACAGACATGACTAAACTCACTCACACCTTTCAACGCCCCTGTGAGGTGGGTACTATAGCCATCACTGTTTATAGATGAGGAAACTGAGGTTTCAGAGGCACAGAAATGTTTGCGTCCATGTCTGAGGTCACATTTTCAGTGGTATTGCAATTGAATCCAAAGCTCCTTCTCTAAGCCACTCATAAACTCACTAAAACTTTCACGGTTTTATAAAGTTTATGCTCTCTTATCCACACATGCTTACTTCATTCATCTGACTGATCTTTTCATTCAACCTCAAATCTTTTCTTCTCTGCTCGAGTGAGAGGTATGTAAGACCCTCTGACTAAGGGAAGCTCACTGACACACAGGCAGTTTGTACAGTGGGTGGTCCCAGATGAAAAAGGGTATGGACCCCAGCCTCAGAGACATGCACTCTAAGAAAAGGAAGCATCTTCTACCCCTGAGATGCTGCAGGGTTGATGATAACAGATGATAACAGGCCTAAGGACTTCACATCAGTCACACACTATAAATTCATGTCTCTGGAACTGTTTTCAAATGCCTATTCCTCTAGGAGGAAGTAACAGCTTCTTTCTCCGAGCTCCAATTGGGCAACACTCCTGCAGTTTAAGATTGTTTGTTTAGTTTGCCTACCCATGTACTGCGAACTCTTTGAGAAGCTGGCCCATACCTGATTCTTCTCAGAACTCCCAGGCCCAGTTCAGGGCCCTTGAGGGCCCCTGAATGTTTTCTGAATGAGTGATTTCACATTTACAAATGTGAAAGAGGGTCAATGAATGCTGAAGATAATATTTGTGACTTAGAGTTCAGATATGGAGAGGGCTGAGGGGTAAATTGATAGTGGGACTGTAATCTCACATTCATACTGTGTTAAATAGCTCACAGAACGCTTTGGTGAACATTATGACGTGTCGTGTTCACTGTGACAATAGTATAGAATTAGTATGGTATGGACTGGGAAACTGAAGAGAACTAGCTGGTGGTACAACCTTATTCAAACTTAATTGATGGGAACTGGCTCATCAAATTACAAATATTCTTTCCAAGATAAAGCAAATCACAACTTTTAGCATCATTTTCTTTATTGTCTAGATATGTTTCTGACAACTATTTCATTGTTCTAGTCCTAGCCTCCCTCACCCTTACTTTTCCAGAGAAAGTTGAAAGGAAAGAGCCTTGGGGCACAGGTTCTAGTCTTGGATTCGCTACACACATAGGTCCTTTCTTTTTCTTATCACCTTTATAATCCCCAGGTACTTACAAGGGTTGTTGAAGTACTAATTAAAGTCATGCAAGTGAAAACACATCATCATAAGCCCTAAAGAATTAAAGAACTGCATATTATCTATTAATATGTGATTCTCACATTGAAGGCAATGCCCAGGGTGCCACTGAGCAATGAATCCAGTTTGAAGGAATTGTCAGTAATAGCAAATCCGCTGAAGGCAAGTGGCTCAGAACAGAACCAGCAACCAGTGTTCCCTCCTGGAAAAGCAAGTGCCTCAAGACAGCACTCTAGACAAAAGCTGAGTAAGAGAAAATAATTTGGGGGATTTAGTTCCTCTAAGTCCTCTGGAAAGGTTGATCAGTACAGCCTAGGTATGTGGGGTGGGCTGTGGCCTGGGTTTAAACTAAGCTAAGCGGAGATCTGAAGTTAGCGCTGGGGATTTGGGCAAATTTTATAAGTTCTCTGAGCTCCCGAATGGTAATCTGTAAAGTGAAGATAAGTATACATAGCTCATATATTGCTTGAAAGCATAAAATCAAATTTAAAAGACTCGGTATGTGCAAGTTGTTCAGTAAACCCATGTGTGATAATAGGGACCATACTTTCTTGGTGTTGTTTGCCCACGCCTTGGCTCAGTGCCTAACACATAATGTGCCCTCAACCAATATTTTATGAATGAATGAATATGTGGATGAACCATTTTGTGAATAGAAAGGTTGGGAAGTTAAACCTGATAATGGGAAGCACTAAAACTAAAATTGAATCATCCATCTGTGGTCCATGTGGAGTCTTAGTCTCTCTGAACCAGTACTTAAGGGAGGAAAAAACCAGGGTATACAGAAGGGCAGGTGATAGTTTGATGGGAGGAGATTTCATGTTTTCTGACAAAACAGGGACTAGTACTCGAGACCCCACCAACATCACTTACCTACCCTTCTCCAACTTAGGACTCAGAAGAAAGGGGGTTGAAGTGAAGATGGACAGCCTCAGAGAAAGGATGGGCCGTGTGTACCAAGAGGTCAGCGAGCCCCAGGATGACGACTACCTGTGTGAGTGACTCTCACAGGAAGGCTGTTACGCCTGAATACAATACTTTTATCTGGTCATTTGTTCCCCAATAATTTCCTCCTTCCCATGACCTGGGGTACAGGATGGAGGCTCAGTGACGTGTGTGCCCAGGCTCGGTCTGAAGCTCTCGTGTGAAGGGACACGCATGACACCTTCCCTAATCCCTGTTGCTCTCACCTCTAGATTGTGAGAAGTGTCAGAACTTCTTCATCGACAGCTGTGCTGCCCATGGGTCCCCCATATTTGTAAAGGACAGTGAGGTGGACATTGGGCATCCCAACCGCTCAGCCCTCACTCTGCCCCCTGGGCTGAGAATCGGGCCATCGGGCATCCCTGAGGCTGGGCTTGGAGTCTGGAATGAGGCGTCCAATCTACCACTGGGTCTGCTCTTTGGCCCCTATGAGGGCCAGGTCACAGAGCACGAAGAGGCAGCCAACTCCTGAATGGTGAGAAGCAGCGACCCCTGACCCTGTCCTTGGGCTCCCCACTTCCCCTCTGCACTGGTGGGCCCTCGCCTCGTCCAGGCTGGGACTTGGATGGGGATAACATGGTTGGCTCTGTGCATAGAATGGACTCTGCATGGACACAGCGCTCCTGCTTAAAGACCAGAGGGGAGTGGGAGCTCAGTGGGACAAACACATAGGAACGGCTCCTGCCTCTGGGCTCCTGCTCTGAGCGGACAAACTGACTCAGATGTGTAGATGATGAATAAGACGCATGTCACATGGGCACGGCTGGCAGTGGAATCCATACAGGCTGACACACCTGATGACAGTAGAGTTAAATAATTCTTCTGACTGTCACCTCCCGATGAAGACCAAAACCTGGTAGCCTTTCAGTTTCGCAGGCAGATTTTCTACCGGACCTGCCGCGTCATCAGGCCAGGCTGTGAACTGCTGGTCTGGTACGAGGACGAGTATGGCCAGGGGCTGGGCATCAAGTGGGGCAGCAAGTGGAAGAGAGAGTTCACCGCGGGGAGAGGTGGGTACCGCGGCTCTTCAGATGGAAAGGAAGGAAGGGATTCTCCTTGGAAATGTTCACGGTCCAACTCTTAGAGCAAAATCTGCTCTAAAGTCAGTAAAATTTCAAATCAGATGCTCCAGAAATTAAGGATTCATTTCATATGCCTTTGACTTTCAGGAACAATTTTTATGTTTGTTATTTTTGTCCTGATTTTTAAAAATATTTCATACACAAAATATATTAACAGCATGTAGTGCCGAAAGGCTTAGAAGCAAAAAAAAAGTTTTCAAGCACTTACCAACTCTGTCACCAAGGTTGTTTCTTCTGACCTGGTCTGCTGTTTCTTCTTAATTTACTCCATATTTCTAAATGAAATTTGCATGTTAACATGAATTCACTCACTATTTCAGTTAGTCGTCGTGTGAGTTCCTGCTCTGTGCCGCACAGGGTCCTGGAGCTGGGAATGCAGACTGGACATGATGATCAGAGTCATCACTCTTGAGCAGCTCAGAGTGAAGGAGGGAAGCACAGGTGCACGCGCATGTGTGACATCAGCAGTGACCCGGGGTCAGTGTGAGGGCAGGAGGTGGGGCAGATGCTCAGGGAGGGCACTCTCAGGGGAGAACATTGACAGACACCTGTGGGCAAAGCGTCCCGGCAAAGTGGGAAAGAGGGGGGTTCTTGGAGGACTGGCTGGGATGATCAGAGTCATCACTCTTGAGCAGCTCAGAGTGAAGGAGGGAAGCACAGGTGCACGCGCATGTGTGACATCAGCAGTGACCCGGGGTCAGTGTGAGGGCAGGAGGTGGGGCAGATGCTCAGGGAGGGCACTCTCAGGGGAGAACATTGACAGACACCTGTGGGCAAAGCGTCCCGGCAAAGTGGGAAAGAGGTGGGTTCTTGGAGGACTGGCTGAGGACCACTCACGTCTCAGCGTGGAGGGTAAGGACAGAGGTTGGAAGGATGTCTAGCAGCCCAGAATGTAGAGCCCATGATCCAGCTAAGACACTGGGGACTCTTCTGAGTGAGATGGGACAATGGTGCCACTTTCAGCTTGGAGTGGCATGTTCTTTGGTCTAAGATTGTGCTTTGCGAATGTTTGGAAAACAGGCTTGCAGTGAGGAAGGCCTTCAGAGATGGCTTCGTCTCCAGGTGAGAGAGGACGGCAGAGTGGCTGAAGATGGATGGGAACCAGGGCTGCGGGAAGTAAGGTTGGGGACATATTGTGCGACACGACTTCCTGTTGTGTTTGAAGTGGGCTAACATCGAATGAGAAATCAAGTACGACTACTTGCTGTGAGGCTTGAGGAAGGACATATTTTCACTTTATGATCGGTGGAACACTGAGAAAGAAGCGGTTCATGACCTAGGCGGGTCAGCGGGAGCGAGAGTCCTACATTCTCTCAGCCTAGATAACGAGGTAAACTGAGGCAAGCTCAAGTTATCAGAAATTGAGTCTCTTCGAGATCGCAGAGGAATGGCAATTATGGAAACGCATGCTACAGGCGAGGCTGTCGAGGGCTTGGAGCAGGCTGAGTTCATGGGCAAGGAGCGCAAAGAGGGGAGTCCAGCCGGAGTCCAGGCAGGACGCTCACTGGCTTGAGGGTGGGGAGAGATTCTTGGTGGACGTTCACTGGTCAGGAGATAAGTCTTAGTCTTTTGTAAACCCGTCATTTACAGGAAATCAGTCTCCCATTTCAGCTCCATCCTTTGAGGGCGTGTGTGTGATTTCCCGTTTTGTGTCCTCCTGTTCCATTTTAGATTGAAATCCTTTCTCAGTTAGTGGGACCTGGACTGCTCTGTCTTGTCCAATCTGAATCCCACTTACTGATGGAGATCCGGGCACGTAGAGGCCCTCAGTCAAACGTGTCTTTTTTAATGGGAGGCTCGGTTCGGGTTTACTCCCCCACGCTCCCTTTAACCACTACTCCATCTGCCTTCCACGCTTGTGAGTCTCCAGGCTGAGTGGCTCCTGACTTAACAGATCCTTTTCCCATCGTGGGACATCACCAAGGACAAGTCCACCAAGTCATGCAGCGTGTTCTCATCTCTCAGTAGAATAAAATGGCTGCAGACACTGTCACAGTGATCTGGCTCTTAAGAAACCAAATTCAACAGAGTAAATCTGAAGATCTGCTTGGATTTACTCAGGAATCAGCAGCAGTCCACCTGCAACTTCAAGGGTGCTCTGAGGGGTTTTACCAACTGCAAGATTTCTACAGGAAGAAAGGTGGGGCAAGGGAGCTCCTAGCAAAGGAAAAGAAAAGGTTATTCCTGAGCTGGGCCATCTTTTCGGGTGGGGTAGAGTTTTTATCATGCAGATTGCCTCTTCTTCCTTTGGGGGCAGATGGAGAGCACCTCGTTCCTATTGACGAGAAATTTCCAGACCGGTTGCTTGAGATTAAGTTTCTGGGAGAGGTTGAAAGTATAATTCATTGAGGTATAAAATCTAGGTTTGGTTTCAGGGCTTTTAGCATGTGTGGCACCATTTTTGGGCCTGTGGTTTTTCTCTTTAACATCATAACTTATAAGATACTTGCATGTGGGTAAAGGTACCGAAGCTCCATCTCCACGAGGAGCCAAACTGCCTCGGATGCTTCTTCAAAGTCTGTAGTCTGGGCCATACGTAGAAAAGGCCCTGGACTGGGCTTTCCGGGTTTCTGAAGATGATGTAGGGCATAAAAATGGAATGAAAAGACAGACTGCAGAGGAGCACTTTGTGGGAGACAGAGCTTGCACTGTCCACACAACAGGAGTGATTAGTGGGCAGGTCTTACAGGAGACGAGAGCATACACCCAGGCAGCCTTGTCGGCATCTGCCCTGATCAAAATTTTCTCTTCCAGCAGAACCAAAGCCAGAGATCCATCCGTGCCCTTCCTGCTCTCTGGCCTTCTCCGGTCAGAAATTCCTCAGCCAGCACATGAAACGCAGTCACCCTTCTCAGAGCCTCCCAGGAATATCTGCGAGAAAACACCTCCAATCTAAGGAGCCCCACCCAGAGGATCAGAGTCAGCAGCAGCAGCAGCAGCAGCACACTGACCCACACAGCTGGAATGACAAAGCTGAAGGTCAAGAGGTCAAAGAAAGGTCCAAACCTATGCTTGAAAGGAACAGGCAGAGGAAGATTTCTAGGGCCTTTTCCAAACCACCCAAAGGACAAATGGGGAGCCCTAGGGAGTGTGAGAGAATGACGGAGGCAGAGCCCAGCACAAGCCAGAAAGTGAATCCAGAGAACACAGGCAAATCATCTGTGGGAGTAGGAGCATCAAGAATTGTAAGAGTCAAGTATGGAGGGTGTGGGCATGGCTTTGATGATGGGTCACATCTCATCAGACACCAGAGGACACACTCAGGGGAGAAGCCCTTTGTTTGCAGGGAGTGTGAGTGAGGCTTCAGTGAAAAGTCAAGTCTCATCATGCACCAGAGGACACACTCAGGGGAGAAGCCCTTTGTTTGCAGGGAGTGTGAGTGAGGCTTCAGTGAAAAGTCAAGTCTCATCATGCACCAGAGGACACACTCAGGGGAGAAGCCCTTTGTTTGCAGGGAGTGTGAGCGAGGCTTCAGTGAAAAGTCAAGTCTCATCATGCACCAGAGGACACACTCAGGGGAGAAGCCCTTTGTTTGCAGGGAGTGTGAGCGAGGCTTCAGTGAAAAGTCAAGTCTCATCATGCACCAGAGGACACACTCAGGGGAGAAGCCCTTTGTTTGCAGGGAGTGTGAGCGAGGCTTCAGTGAAAAGTCAAGTCTCATCATGCACCAGAGGACACACTCAGGGGAGAAGCCCTTTGTTTGCAGGGAGTGTGAGCGAGGCTTCAGTGAAAAGTCAAGTCTCATCATGCACCAGAGGACACACTCAGGGGAGAAGCCCTTTGTTTGCAGGGAGTGTGAGCGAGGCTTCAGTGAAAAGTCAAGTCTCATCATGCACCAGAGGACACACTCAGGGGAGAAGCCCTTTGTTTGCAGGGAGTGTGAGCGAGGCTTCAGTGAAAAGTCAAGTCTCATCATGCACCAGAGGACACACTCAGGGGAGAAGCCCTTTGTTTGCAGGGAGTGTGAGCGAGGCTTCAGTGAAAAGTCAAGTCTCATCATGCACCAGAGGACACACTCAGGGGAGAAGCCCTTTGTTTGCAGGGAGTGTGAGCGAGGCTTCAGTGAAAAGTCAAGTCTCATCATGCACCAGAGGACACACTCAGGGGAGAAGCCCTTTGTTTGCAGGGAGTGTGAGCGAGGCTTCAGTGAAAAGTCAAGTCTCATCATGCACCAGAGGACACACTCAGGGGAGAAGCCCTTTGTTTGCAGGGAGTGTGAGCGAGGCTTCAGTGAAAAGTCAAGTCTCATCATGCACCAGAGGACACACTCAGGGGAGAAGCCCTTTGTTTGCAGGGAGTGTGAGCGAGGCTTCAGTGAAAAGTCAAGTCTCATCATGCACCAGAGGACACACTCAGGGGAGAAGCCCTTTGTTTGCAGGGAGTGTGAGCGAGGCTTCAGTGAAAAGTCAAGTCTCATCATGCACCAGAGGACACACTCAGGGGAGAAGCCCTTTGTTTGCAGGGAGTGTGAGCGAGGCTTCAGTGAAAAGTCAAGTCTCATCATGCACCAGAGGACACACTCAGGGGAGAAGCCCTTTGTTTGCAGGGAGTGTGAGCGAGGCTTCAGTGAAAAGTCAAGTCTCATCATGCACCAGAGGACACACTCAGGGGAGAAGCCCTTTGTTTGCAGGGAGTGTGAGCGAGGCTTCAGTGAAAAGTCAAGTCTCATCATGCACCAGAGGACACACTCAGGGGAGAAGCCCTTTGTTTGCAGGGAGTGTGAGCGAGGCTTCAGTGAAAAGTCAAGTCTCATCATGCACCAGAGGACACACTCAGGGGAGAAGCCCTTTGTTTGCAGGGAGTGTGAGCGAGGCTTCAGTGAAAAGTCAAGTCTCATCATGCACCAGAGGACACACTCAGGGGAGAAGCCCTTTGTTTGCAGGGAGTGTGAGCGAGGCTTCAGTGAAAAGTCAAGTCTCATCATGCACCAGAGGACACACTCAGGGGAGAAGCCCTTTGTTTGCAGGGAGTGTGAGCGAGGCTTCAGTGAAAAGTCAAGTCTCATCATGCACCAGAGGACACACTCAGGGGAGAAGCCCTTTGTTTGCAGGGAGTGTGAGCGAGGCTTCAGTGAAAAGTCAAGTCTCATCATGCACCAGAGGACACACTCAGGGGAGAAGCCCTTTGTTTGCAGGGAGTGTGAGCGAGGCTTCAGTGAAAAGTCAAGTCTCATCATGCACCAGAGGACACACTCAGGGGAGAAGCCCTTTGTTTGCAGGGAGTGTGAGCGAGGCTTCAGTGAAAAGTCAAGTCTCATCATGCACCAGAGGACACACTCAGGGGAGAAGCCCTTTGTTTGCAGGGAGTGTGAGCGAGGCTTCAGTGAAAAGTCAAGTCTCATCATGCACCAGAGGACACACTCAGGGGAGAAGCCCTTTGTTTGCAGGGAGTGTGAGCGAGGCTTCAGTGAAAAGTCAAGTCTCATCATGCACCAGAGGACACACTCAGGGGAGAAGCCCTTTGTTTGCAGGGAGTGTGAGCGAGGCTTCAGTGAAAAGTCAAGTCTCATCATGCACCAGAGGACACACTCAGGGGAGAAGCCCTTTGTTTGCAGGGAGTGTGAGCGAGGCTTCAGTGAAAAGTCAAGTCTCATCATGCACCAGAGGACACACTCAGGGGAGAAGCCCTTTGTTTGCAGGGAGTGTGAGCGAGGCTTCAGTGAAAAGTCAAGTCTCATCATGCACCAGAGGACACACTCAGGGGAGAAGCCCTTTGTTTGCAGGGAGTGTGAGTGAGGCTTCAGTGAAAAGTCAAGTCTCATCAGGCACCAGAGGACACACTCAGGGGAGAAGCCCTTTGTTTGCAGGGAGTGTGAGCGAGGCTTCAGTGAAAAGTCAAGTCTCATCATGCACCAGAGGACACACTCAGGGGAGAAGCCCTTTGTTTGCAGGGAGTGTGAGCGAGGCTTCAGTGAAAAGTCAAGTCTCATCATGCACCAGAGGACACACTCAGGGGAGAAGCCCTTTGTTTGCAGGGAGTGTGAGCGAGGCTTCAGTGAAAAGTCAAGTCTCATCATGCACCAGAGGACACACTCAGGGGAGAAGCCCTTTGTTTGCAGGGAGTGTGAGTGAGGCTTCAGTGAAAAGTCAAGTCTCATCAGGCACCAGAGGACACACTCAGGGGAGAAGCCCTTTGTTTGCAGGGAGTGTGAGTGAGTCATTAGCATTAAATTGTATCTCAACAGCCATGGGACAAATGTAGCCACCACACCCTTGATACCCCTTACGCTCCCCAAGAGTGAAAAGCTAGAGTGAAAAGCGGACAGGAGTAACTAGTTAACAAATCTTCCACTTTCATGATAAGAGATGAGATGGACAAATAGTTCTTAGCGCTACAGGGATGTCAGCACCAACCTCCATGACATTTTTTTGCCTCCTGTTCTAATAAATTCTGTCTCCAAACAACTTTGAAGCCCACATACCTCATTACCCCCTTGTCAGTGAAATCAGGGGGGTCCAGGAGGGCCACAGAGAACTCCTACTCTCAGCCACGGGAACTCAACCCCTGCAAAGGTGTAGGCCTGGAGCCAGTCTAGTTAGGGTCTTGCCCAGGGAAAGAATCTAGGATTTGAGATAGACTCGTCGGGGAAGGGAGTTCCCTGGACCCCTGGGAAGTGCGGCCTTTCCCCCAGTAGGCGCCCAGCCTCCTCCCCCTCTTCTCTTGGCTCCTCTCCCGGTTTCCTGTCTGTTAAATCCTGGGAGGGACGTGTATGTGTGCGTGGACAAGCGCGTGGCTCGGTCTGGGGCACTTGGTCTGCCTCACTCTCTCCTTGCTGTCCCTTGGGGGTCAGCATCTCATGGTGCACAGCATGTGTCTCCAGACTGGACCACAGTGGGTTTGACTCTCAGCTCTGCCCTCACCAGCTGTGTGACCTAGGCCCAGATACTCAGCTTCTCTGTGCCTGCATTCTAACCTATGAAACGGGAACGGTAACCAGCCCTTTGGTCTGACAGAGCTGAGTCGGCTCAGGCAGGACCCGGCACGGACGGCTGGGAACCCAGGCGTCTCCCTGAACAGCTTCCAGGGCCCACGTCTTCCGGGTCTTCAGTGTTGGACAAGGGGGCGTGAAGGGAGGGTGAGGGCATGGGAGTCTCCGCATTCAGAGCCTGTGCACACACACTGCTTTCTCTGCGAGAAGGAGACGTGAGGTCAGGGAGGCAGAGTGCACACGTGCGCCTCCCTCCAGGCCACTTCCCTCCCCGCTGAGCCTGGGCCCCTTCCACTCAGGTACTGAGAATGCCGTGAGGCTGACCTCGCCCACCCCTGCTGAGAACCGGCTCTGGGGACAGCCGGAAGTGGGTCTGAGCCCCTGCACAGCCTCATCTGCACACGGTGTTCTCCAGCCCCCAACACAGCAGCTTCTCTAAGGCACCCCTTCGTACCTCGGGACCCCCGTGGTTCAATGCACCCATTTCTATTTCAACAGTCTTATTGTATCTTTAAACTTATGTTTGTTAAGTAGAAGCCGATGGAACAATGGACATGCTATGAGCAGGGAGACATGCACAAGGTTGGTCATTCCTGGCTGCCCGCTCACAGATAAAGTCCTTGATGGCCCAAGATCACGGGATCCCCGTGAGCCCGATGGGTGAGAGTCCAGGCAGAGCCGAGGTGAGAGCAGGGTGAACGGCTACACTGGGTGACGGGCCGACGGCTCCAAGCGGCCACGTTTCTCTTGGAACCAGGACGGACTTCGAGGACACAGGGCAGCACACACGGTCCGTGAGGGGCCCATCGCACCCTCTCCTGCACGAGCCACCTTTCGCTGCTGAGGGAGACCAGAGCGTATCTCAGTCCTGCTCCTGCTAGGACGGGTTCCGAAGGCTGATCTCTGACCCCGGCTCCTTAAAGGAGACAGGAGGGAGTGCAGGCCACCCAGGGGTCACCCGAACCCCACAGCCCAGAACTGTGACCCACCTGTCCCTCTCCCTGAGCTGGGCTCGTGAAGAGTCTCTGCATAGACTATGTGGGTTTCAACAATGAATATCCGTTACTGTCTTGGCATTTTTCCCATGAATTTTTTTTTTAACGCCTACAGCACCTGGTATTTCTAGGTGGTCTCCCATCCAAGTACCAAGCAGGCCTGACCCTGCTTAGCTTCCGAGATCAGGAGAGATCGGGCACGTTCAGGGTGGCGTGGCCGCAGACTCCATGCATTTTAAAAAGATGTGTGTCTACAGTTCTGTTTCCCTGCATTTTTAAAAAGATGTGTGTCTATAGTTCTGTTTCCCTTCCCTGGATACTCGCCTAGTAATGTAGGGAGGAGGCAAGAGAATTAAAAAGGTTAATCAAGCCACAATCAGAGACTGCAATGTGCTGATCAGCCCTGCAGCCAGGCCAGGAGGACACCTGCAGAACGCAGGAAGATTTCTGCTGGGATTGCTAACAAGCCATTCCCCACACCCGTGAAGGGGAACCAGGAACCTAAAGTCATTCCCCAAGGCTAAAACCATGGGGAACCTATGGCAGGAAGATTTCTACTGGGATTGCTAACAAAGCCATTCCTGAAGGGGACCCAGGAACCTAAAGTCATTCCATGGGGAACCTATGGATTAAAGGCGGGGAACTGCCAGCTGGCCCTTCGCTCTGCAAACTCTCACCTTCTCCCTTGCACACTCTTCCCTTCCTCACCGAATGTCTCTCCTACCAAAGGAAACGGGTTAGCAAAGTCTTTTCAACTGTAACTCACAGGAGCTAAACAATGAGATATAAACTGAATTCCCCGAACACCCGGGGTCCCTCTCAGTGCCTTTACTCTGTCCCCGTGCCTTTCCACAGCCCTCTCACAGTCCCTCTCACTGTCTGCCTCTGAGAGGAGACCACACTGTCTGTGGAGTGCGACCCCTTTTCTAATACACTTTCCTTTTGACTCTAACTTTGGCATGTGTGTTGAATCATTTCTACGGTCTCCACCAAACCCTCTTCTCTAGGTGTGGGGCTTCATCTCCCCACCAGCTCGAGGAAATCTGCCCTGTCCTGCATCACTAGGACAGAACGCTTTAAATATTCAGTGGCTTTCAGCAGGGGCTGTGGGCGAGGGGCGGAGTTACGGGGTGATGCTGGCAGAGAAGCTGGGACTGACGCACAGTCCTGTGGGAGGGGAGCTCACAGATGGCCACCGGGGCTGACCCCTGACCTGTCCTGGAAGGCTGAGCAATTCAAGACGAGTAGAGAAGTCTGCTCCCTCCTCCTCCCCTTCAGCAACAAACCGCATTCCTAACGTGCTCCCCAGCCTCTGAGATGGCCCCAAATTCACCTCCATCATCCTGCACAGTTTCCCCTTCAAAGAACAGGGCTGACCTGCGATGTGAACACGATGTGTGCACCTCCCAGGGCTCACTGATAAGGAGGATTCGACTGTCACTGTCTCACAGGCTCGTGCAGGGAGCTGGCGTTCACCTGCCCCTCCAGCCCAGCTGGCAGCTGCTGGCAGCCACGTCCCCGTTTTTTAAGAGGAGGCTCAGAGGAGTGAGCCCTGCTGGGCTCTGGGTCTCCTGTCTCCTGACAGTCCTATCCCCATGACACCTGGCAGCCCCCAGGGCCACTCCAGCTACACCTGCTGGTTTCCCGGCACCTCCCCCTGACACTGCGCTTGTCCTGGATGGGACAGGTCGATAGTCCTTGGACAAAAAGGACGTCAGCAGCTGAGGCAACAGGACGGCGTGGCCAGCTGCCTCCACCGCAGCTATGCGTTGTGCGCCTACTTTCTGCTGGGCTGGTCTGCCACCCAGGTGAGGATGCTGCCAGCTTGCTTGGGGACCTGTAGCTGGGCAGGTAGAGGAACACTGGGCACGGTCAGCCAAGAACCCAGAAGAGCAGTGTGTTCTCCATAGCAGAGTCAGGCAAACCTCAGTAGGGACTGAGCAGGCGCGAGGGTTTACTTATCTGAAACTTAGTAAATGTGTCTTAACCCCCCCAACCCCGCCC